GGTCATGAGTGGGAGACAATCCCTTACACATTAGATTAAAATAATCACATGTGCACTCCACTAACTTAGGCTAAGGACTATCGATTATTCTTAATACTTTCTTATGGCCATCTTAGCTCAAATTAATCCTCATTAAGTCCTTAATAACCTCAGCATTTGGGTCTTGAGGAAAGTGGGCTGAAACTTCAAGAATTGGGCTCAAAAAGTGGGTTGTCGCGCTGCCAGCGCGACACTGGGCCTGGGCGCGAGAGGGCTGCTGGGCGCGAGACTGCTTGGGCTGCGCGTGCTAATTGACTTGGGCCGAGCTTAAGGGCTGAAATGAGGCTCACAACACTTAGAAAAATCCCATAAGTGTTCGGCCATGACTTAGGCACTCGAACTCGGTGAGGCGCGCGGCCTTGGGTGCGAGGACCTGAACCTTAGCACGAGCTCGGTGCGTGGCTCCTTTCGACCGAGTTGACTTGATCTAGGTCTCGATAAAATGATCTCATACTTAGAAAATATTCTAAGTAAGGCTATGAGCACGACTAGGGCTCGAACAAGACTCGGGACTATAGGGCTCGAGACTTGGCTAGGCGTAAACTAGGCGCAAGACTCGTGATCGAACGACTCTAATCCGGACACGGCTTGATTTCGACGATATATCGAAACATACTCGGTTCCGATTGTTCGTCAACTTGAATAATTAATTCCGACTGAATAAAATCCATTGCTAAAATAAATGGACCGGAATTAATAGCTGAAATTGAATAGCTGAATATCTGGGCTCAGAACTCAAGACGAGTGATATTAATAAAAGGAAAAATAGTTCAAACTCAGAACTAAAAATGTCACTTTTAATTAATACAGAACTGGACTATTACATATATCCGTAAGAATAATCATACCATTTTAATTTTTAAAAATTTGGAAAATTTGTTAATTAACTAAATTCAGTTAGATAAATAATTAATTAGTTAAAATATTATATTAGTTATATATTAAAATCCAGTTAGATAAATGTGGATAAAAAATTGTTATATTAATTAATTTGTTAGGAATGTGTTTATATGGAAGTTAATATAACATAAAATGTACCCAAAAGATTTGTTTAAATGTTTAAATTTAATAATCTAATAACCAAATTTAGATTATATCACATAAAGAAAAAAGATATAATTTTAAATTTCAAATAAAGTAAAGGCGGGATACTTCAATTTGTATTCAAAAAGTTTTTAAAATGTTTAATATTTTAGTAAGTTCATTCGTAAGAATAATTTTACCATTTTAGTTTCAAAACAAATTGGCAAGTTTGTTAATGATGTGAATCCGGTTAGGTAAATAATTAATCAGTTAAAATATCATATTAAATAATCAAATTTAGATTATATCATATAAAAAAGATTTAAATAATAAATATTTATTAATATATTTAAAAATATAATTTTAAATTTCAATTAATGTAGTAGGCGGTACACTTCAAATTTGCATTCAAAAGGTTTCTAAAATGTTTTATATTTTGGTAAGTATATATGTAAAAATAATAGTACCATTTACATTTTAAAAAATTTGGTAAGTTTGTTAATGAGATAAATCTGAATAGATAATTAATTAATTAATTAATTAAAATATTATATTACTTATATCTTAAAAAATCTGATTAGATGATGTGGATAAAAAAAATATTATGTTAATTAGTTGTTAGGAATGTGATTATATGGAGTTAAAATAAAATGAAATCTACCTAAAAAATCGGCTTGTAATTTTTTCTTTTAAATGTTTGAATTTAAAATTGTCCAATAAATTTCAAAAACTCATTTAGACGGGATTTTTAAAAATTTTTAAAAAAATCGTTAAGCTTAGTAACTTTAAAAAATTTAGACGGGTTTTTACTTTTTTGGTGGATTTTAGTAACTTTGAAAAATTTGGTGCTGTTTATTGTGTTGTACGTAGACGATATGCTGCTAATCGGAAACGATATGAGAGAATTGTCAAACGTAAAGATATGGTTGTCTAAGGAGTTTGATATGAAGGATTTGGGTGAGGCAGGACACATTCTTGGTATTAGGGTCATTTGAGACCGTAAGAAGAGAATGTTGTTGTGCCTATCATATCTTCGTACGTAGATACATTCTTGGCCAGGTTCAGCATGCAGAACTCTAAAAAATGGTTCTTACATTTTCGACATGGAGTACCTCTGCCTAACGAGATGTTTTTAAAGACACCTCAAGAGATAATGTAACACCCCGCCTAAACTTACCAAAATCAGAGTAAATTTTTCGCGCAACTAATGGAAACACTGATTTAATTTTTGAAAACTCAATTTAACTTTTTCAAAAATACTTTAACTACAGCGGGATGCTACTCAACTTTAATTCTTTAATCTTTAATCTACTATGCATGCAACCAAGTAAAATTCATTTTAGAATTAAGGGCATGAAAATTTACTGGAATTGCACATGCAGTCTGAAATTCTTAAATACTGAAATACTAGTCTGAAATTCTGAAATACTTGAATACTGAAATACTGTTCTGAAATTCTGAAACATAGTTCTGGAATGCAGAAGCAAATAAGTTAAGAAAGCACACACAAGCATCAATAAACATGCAACGACAAAAGACAGATAATCCAAACATGTTACTATATGACATGTTCACTCAAAATATCCTGGCTGATGACCACCACCACATATCAGCTCACGTGCCACGCGGGACTCCGTCACCTGAAAGATAGTTAGTGGAGAGGCGTGAGCACAACTAAATCAACGGTGCTCCGCTGGAACCGGCACTGAATAAACATCACCTTTAATGACAAATCATGTAATCTTGGGACTAACGGTAAACCGGTACTCATGTGCACACTCTGGGGGTCTCCTTCCACAGAAATCCAGGCTGAGCAAAGCACCACTCATATGGACACTAACTTAGGCTGGGCATAGCACCACTCATCTAAGTCATGCTGAAACCTAGAATTCTTACCAAGTCGGGATCACTCATCGGACTCGGTCTACAATTTAATCACATATAGACATCAGACATAATAAATTATTAAAAGCGATGAAGTACACAATACAGTGGTCCCCACCTGGATGTTGGCTAATAAAAATGTTGAATAAACTGAACTGACTGGTAGCAAGTGGAGGCTCGACTCTCCTCAAGCTACAAAATATTGAGCGAAATATTCTCAGTACTCGGGCTCAGAATAAGAACTCAAATTATATTATCAGATCTGTCTAGGTTCGATCACTGGGTTTTGAAAAACATTTTGGGAATTTACATGCTGATTTTGAAATTATTTTTGTGTTTGAGGCATGCTAGAGTTCTTTGAAATATTTCTAAGTCTGGAACGATAATCAGACTGAAATCTTAAATCTACTGGGTTCCAATCTAGCTAGTTCTAAGTTGACTGGATTTTATCTGACTGAATCTTAAATCTGACTGAAATCATAAATGTGATTAAATCTTTAATCTGAAATAAATTTGGATCTGAAATCTTAAATATATAGGAAATATTAAATCTAATTGGATCTGAAAATCTATCTAAAATTTCTTGAACCGACCAGACTGCCCGGACTGACTCGATTGGACTGGACCGAATGCTCACTCGGAGTCGGTCGATAATTCTCTTGACTATGTGCAACACAGTTTAACCGTGTTTGGGTTCGGCGTGGCAACTCAGGGCCGACACGAGCTCGACTGACACGGCTTAGCCGATGCACGAGTTTGAAACGGTGCCACGGTCACTGATGCAGGGGCGTGCTTGGGCCACGGCTAACGAAAACGGCGCGTAGACAGTCGATCGGATGGACTCGGTGCACGGGCACGCACTCAGTGGTTTGACTCGGACTCGGTGCACAGGCACTCACTCGGTGGTTCGGCTCCAACAGTCGGATGAGAGTCAAACACGTGTGCGAGATAACGATACGAATTAAGAATTGATGTTACGACGTTTAAAATTATTTAAACGGTACTAGGGTTCAGTCGATTAAACTTGGATCTGAAAATTACCCGGTTATCGGAACCGGATAAAACTAAGGTTTCTGATTCTCGAAAATTCTAACTCATTTAAGGTCGATATTTAGAACATAATTTCTATGTGATTTATATCGATTTTATAATCAAGAACTATAGCTAAAATCCACAACCGGACTAGTTTTCTATCTTCTATATTTATCGCATTTCTCGGGTAAAGTCCCAATTTTTAATCTAAGTCAAACGGCATGCAACATTCACGAAATTTAAAACATAGCATCCACATCATATACGTAGTCTATGGTCAAAATATCGCGACCCAATTCAACTCCTAACCCATTCCACTAAGAAACGCATTAAGCGGTCCATAACTCCAAAAATCTCGTTCGTCTATCAAATGAACTCTAAAAATTTCTCGACCCGCATCCTAAGACTGAAGACAACTCAACTAAATTCATAAAATTTAATTTACCATTTTATCTCGTTTATATAGAAAGCTCGAATAATTTGCTTCAAGCTCGAAAATTCTCAATAATTCAAAAAATACTCAAATCACCAATTCATCAATTTTATAATTATTCGATAATCATAACTAAGCCATTGGAGTCGAGTTCAAGCCATTTTACCTAAAAGCGGGCTGGAATCGGAGATCGAAAAGTAAAAAATGCTAAAGAAATGGAGCGGAGCTTGAACCAGGTCGAGTTTAGAGCAACCGGGTCGGATTTGGTGTTGTTCGGGTCGAACCGGGTCGAATTCTGGAGCGGGTCAACTTGGTCCGAGTTGACTAGGTCTGAACTGGGTCATGTTGAAACAGTCGACTCACTGAGTCGTGGATCTGGCGAGTTAAGGCTGGCTCGCGCAAGTGGATGGTTGCTGGGGTCAGTTCTGGGCTCTGGACGGCTCGCTGGTCACGGAACCGGCTAAGGGTGGCTCGGTCGTGGATCGACTCGCATGGACGGAGGTGGTTCGGTCGCGGTTCGAGCTAGACGACGGCAGACTGGAGCTGCTCGAACTGGAGTTGGGTCTGCCGACGTGGAGAAGCTGCGTCGATGGACTCGCGAATGGAATCTATGATGGTGGCTCGACTAGTCGGAGGGCTGGTCAACAGCGAGAGAGGAGCTGTGAACTGTGGACGGCATGGCTCCAGCTCACGAACCGAAGCTGCGGCGGAGGCGTGGAGGAGTTGGTTCACCGGAAATCATGCATGTGAAGAGCTTCGCCGGCGGCTTGAGGAGCTGGTTCGTCGGAAACATGGAGTTGAAGAAGTTGCGACTTGAGCTGGACGGCGGCAAGAGCTTCGACGGCGTGAAGGTCGTCAGAGGACAGCGACTCGCTGGAGGGGATGGCCGGATTTTGGTGGATTTGAGCTTGAAGATGATGAATAGTGATGAAATGAGGATTGTTGGGCTAGGTTTTGCAAAATGAGGTTGGAAGATGATGTTATATATATAGTAGTGTGTAGGACTTAGGGTTTGCTTGTTATTGGGCTCAAAACCGGGCTTGTAAAATCCTAACACTAGGGCTCGATTAAATCGAACATAGACTTAGGAAATTTTAAATGCTCGGCTAGAATTAATCGAACTTGGACTAATTAAATTAGTCTGTCGAATTTTTCTAGAATAATTGGGCTCGGATTTAAAAATTGACTATAGGCTCGATTTTTAAATGGACTAAAATAAAATCGAACATGGACTCGATTTACTAAAATGGGATGGGTCGAAAGAAAATCGAACATAGGCTCGATTAACTTAAATGGGCCGGCTAAAATAATTGGACTTGCTCGAAAATGATTATGCTCGAATAAATTAATTAATCGGCTTCGGTCCGCTTTAATAAAATTTTCGATCATTCCAAGGCTCGATTTTTAAATATAGAACCGATACTTGGGCTAAATAAATCCGACTTTAATACTTCAAATTGAATAAATTCTCCATGGCTTAGACTTTAAACTAGTTACTCAATTTAATGCAAATAATAATAATAAATGCATCAAATTAAGGAACTTAATATTTATGGAAATAAAGTCAAGCTCCATAAATAGTAATTACTATTCTGGGATTACAGATGAAGGACATGAAGACCGTTCCTTATGCTTCAGCAGTAGGAAGTCTTATGTATGTAATGATGTGCACAAGTACCGACATTAGCTATGTCGTTAGCATGGTAGCAAAATATCAAAGTAATCCAGGCTCAGGAAATTGGCTTGCTGTGAAACATATACTCAAATACCTAAAGAGGACTAGAAGTACATGTTAGTTTACCGTGCAGACAACTTGCTACCCAGGGTTACACCAATTCCGATTTCCAATAAACCGAGATAAAAGTAAATCTACCAGGTTATGTGTTTACATTGTGGGGTACAACCAAGGAGGAGTGCCAAACAGAGATGTGTGGCAGACTCCACCATGGAAGTCGAGTATATCGCAGCTTCAGAAGCAGCAAAAGAGGCAGTATGGCTTAGAAACATTTTGGTAGACCTAGAAGTAATTTTGAGTTTACTATGATAATAAGGGTGCAATAGCAAACTCAAGGGGAGCACGAGCCCACAACGCCAGTAAACACATAGAGCATAAATACCACATGATTACTAGAAATCGTAGGGAGATGAGATGTCTAGGTTTCTAAGATCTCATCAAAGGACAACCTAGCTGATCCTTTCACTAAGAGTTTGTCGGGGAAGGTCTTTGCCAGACACGTAGAAGGAATGGGAGTCAGATGTGTGGTGCCAGGATCGACATAGGTATTTTAGAATAAGGATTAAAATGATGTATACTAGAAAAGCGGAAGCTTTAAGTATTAGTCGGAGAATGTTAGTGTATATACTAAAAGCTTGGCTTTGAATGCTATTTACACTATTTATGTTAAATGAGATTTCGTGTTTGATTAAACAAAGTTTTATTTGTTCAATTGTTTTACACTTAAATAAATAGTTCATCACAGGTGGACAGAAGATCATTTATCATTCACTTGCGAAACATAAGGAAGTTGGTTCGCAACCTAGATAGAAATTGAACAAGCTATGGGAACGGTTGTAGTGTCAATGGTACATTTGACCTCGACTAATTAGTTTTACTAGTACAAATAGTGTATTGAACATGATCCCAAAGAGGAGCAGTTCGTTTTGTACTGATCGGCATAAAAGAACTAGGCCTCGACTAATTACTGTGTCTTCTTAACCCGAAAGATATAAATAGGCACATGTATGTACTATTTACTGCTCTAATTCTTCATGGTTAGATCCATTATGTCTGGATCAGTAACTGGCTGAGTTGGGTAGTATTGGTGCATGGCATGATGTGTTGTTAGTATATTTACAATCACCATGTATTTCTAATGGTTGAAGTTTGATGATATCCCTGAAGTGAGCTCAGAAGAATTATTATGTTAAACTCTGCAGGTGGATTAAATTCTGACATAATAATAATGCACTGAGTGGTGCTAGATTCAGTTCAACAAGTCAATTAATTTAATTGTTTGTAACTAAATTATTGATGGATATTATATCTTAAAATGGGGAGCTAATTCGAGTAATTAGAAATTTGAGCTCAAATCATAATTTAGAAATTAAATTGGAAGTTTTCTTTTGAATAATACTACTTTAGTGGAATGACTGTAATATTTATATTTAAGCTTTAGTGAGTTTATCCCATAGTTTGACCCAAATATGATAAGCCCAATTTAATGTCTCCTTAGGTTCCCTATTGAAACTTATAAATGCACTACCTCTCTTATGTTACAAGTCATATAATTCCATACACTTAAGAGATATCTAGATTCTCCTTCTCACCAAGAGAGTTCTAGAGGTATTATAAAATTCAAATAGAAGTACTTAAGGTAGTGAAACACTCGACACACCGATCGAGCACCCGACCACCGGCGACCATCGCGACCAGAGGCCATCGGCGACCTGTTGCTCCCAGCGACCCATTACTCCAGCTCCTGGCGAGACCCTGTCCCGCCGCATGTTGTGAACCAATCTATCACCATTGCGCATGGCTCGCTACTTCCTGGCTCCCGCATGCACGCTGTCGTACGATGACCCCGAGACAACCCTGACGAGGTGATTTTCGACGAGTGAAAAATCAGACGATCTCCATCAACAAAATCTACGTCTTAGAATCTGTAAGTTTTGATTCGTAAGTCTTCTACCTTAATCTATAGATCCGCTACGCATAGGTTAATTTGTAGATAAATTTGTAACTTGCACATTAACGGCGATCCTTATAAATCCCAACAATGATATCAAGAAATATTCAACCTATATGAAAGTTCATATTTCCATGAGGGCTTCTATGATTTTTTTAGCTTATTTGATATCTAAGTAGTGATTACATTCTATACAAATCATCAAAATATGTCACAAAATATTCGAGTGAATCTTGGCTCTTTCATGTATGTCAATTGTGATGTCAATTGTGAACTCAACATAGATAATAAATGCACTTAATAACAAAAAAATATATAACCTAAAATGATTTTGAAAAAATTATGTAACTATATATAATTATTCCACTCATCGATATATGACAATACAATGATTAATTAATGTGTCTTTTAAATAAGCTATTGATACCATATATTCTTACAAATTTAAAAATAGAAATCTATTATTAATACATCAAAACTTGTTATTGAATCTTGAAATTTGAATACATATGTAAATTTGACAAAGACTTATATTATATATCACTAAAATAAAATTAAAAATAAGTAAAAAATAATTATTAAATAACGTTTTATATTTTATTTAAAACATCAGAAATCTCAATGTTCAGTTTATGATATAATCATGTCTTTTGTTTTATGAGTGATTAACAGAAAAATCAAAAGAATAGTTTATGATATTGACAAATTAAAAAATAATTCATGTATTTGAAAAAATATTTCATAGAATGTAAATACCCTACAATTCCACACGATATCTTGGTCTCCCGTTGGGTATAGGAAGATCAAAGATTGAGACTTTTAAGTTTGTGCTGGAATTAATGAAATCCATAATCCAAAATTGGAAATCTAAACTGCTCCCTTCTGCTAAAAGGTTCAGCTCCCTGTGCAAAACAAAAAATCCTGTCACTTGATATCCCAGAAAGCAGCAGTTTGCAAGGTCACAAAGCTAGAACTGGGGTTCACAGAATTTGGAAGTTGAAAGTTCATTGGAAATTGAAACACTTCATCTGGAAGTGTTGTACTGAAACTCTGCCTGTTAAATCATAACTAAGGAAAAAAGGTATGGATATTGATGTGGTCTTCCAACATTGTGGAGAAGCTCCTGAGACTATAGAGCACATTTTCTTTGATTGCCCACAAGCCCTAAATCGTTGGAAGGTAGAACTTGTTAGATGGGATGGACTCCATTTTGCTACTGGTCTCTCTTTCAGATGTTGGTAGGATCACCTTTGCTCATTTGGAGGTTCTGAAGTTGCTGAAGCCCGCATCCAACTTACAACATATTTGCTTTGATGGCTTTGGAAATCCTGGAACCTATGGCTCTTCTAAAAGGTTCAGCTCCCTGTGCAAGTTGTTGTGAAGGAAGCTCTCAATGACTGGTTGTCTTTTCCAAATCTGGTTTAGATTGGTATTGATTTTGCTGTTGGTTTGGTTTTTCATGTGTAGTTTCTGTTTTGTTTTTCTCTCTAGGCAGTTGCAGTGGAGAGATTCTTGTTTTCTTCTTCCTAGTTTGTCTAGTTTATTGTCGAGGCTCTAGCCACCTTGTACATGTCCTCCCACTCTTTTATTTGCGATGTTATCTTTGTAATTGTATTTGGATGGTTCGGAGTTAATCGATCTTTCTATCGTTTCGGAAAAAAAAAGAACTGTTTTATATATGATTTTATTTTATAACATGCATTATTTTATGTTTTTATCTTAACTCCTTAGTATATGGGCTATTCTATACAATTCATCATGATATAAACATGTATGAAATGTGATACTTTGTAATTAAGAAAAAAGATCTTGATTCAACATTGACATATTTTACAATTTATTTTACAACAACAACAACAACATAGCCTTTAGTCCCAAGCAAGTCGGGGTAGGCTAGGGATGAAAACCAAGAGAAACACACAATTTATTTTACAATTACGTTAAATTAATTTTATTTAACTGAATTTTATTTGTTATTATGTATTCGTAAAATTTTACATTAAAATACAATTTTATATGTTTTTCTAATCGTTGGGGCATGTGCGTAGGAGAGACTTCGAGGTACCGATGAGAAGGATAGAAACATAACAATTAAGAATGCAGGCAATAATCGTTTGGGCATGTGCAGGGGAGACTTCGAGGCAATAAAAATGATTTAAAATCATTAAATTTGAGTGAGGATATGTGCTTTGATCGAGCACGATGATGATATGTGATCCATATAGCAGACCTCACTTGGTTGCATTTTAACGACTTGTTGATTGATTGCTTGATTGATTGTTGTAATTATAGTTTTATTATTACAAATATACTTAAGCAATAAAAGATCATCTATTGAGCAATGTCTGGCATTTAACTTTTTTTTACATGTTATTTATTGTTCTATTATAAAGTAATTTTTACAATTATATAATATGATTTAATATGTTTTTGTTTCTTTTTAAAAATTGTCTTTTCTTGATAAAAATATTATTAAAATAACTTTTGGTTGTTAAACTGTACTTTAATGAAAAACACATTTTATAGCGCCCCTTTCGTTTTATAGAATATTTCGTGATTTATTTGTTTTATTATTATCATTGCTTTTATTTCAGGATTTATTTATTGCTCGATTATTATTATTGATTGCTCGTTTTTGTCTTGTTCTATTTATCTGCTTTATTATTAAATTGCTATGTGATTAATTTTTTTGTTGTTTACTTTATTTTTATGGTGATGTATGATTGAGTTAGAATTATTTTAGTTGTTAGTATTATCGTTTGGCGATTTTCGGTTTAATCGCGTAAACCGATTTTAATCCGTTTCAACCCGTTTCGTTTTTAATTTCAAACTTCAAGTACTTTATCTTGTCCCAACCATTCTCATTACTTCGGTCCAAATGAACCCATAGAACCGACCCTATGTGCATAAGGTGAAGCATTTTTGCCTTAGAATATATTTGTCCTCTTTTGATTGAAATTCAAATAAATAAAATGCATTTTTGGAATGTCTTGTAGCCACACCATCAGCCCTCAATCCACACGTTAGAAAATCTCCAATGCTCTAATGTTATTGTAGGATAAATTTTGACAAATGTCAAAAAATTAAATAGATTGTGAACCATGTAGGATAAATGTTGAGTTCACAACTATTAAATAAAAAAATCATTTTCAATGCACAATGTAGTCGAATTATCATATTATCTACTTACCAAATATTAAAATTTTAATATGAATTAATAAAATTAATTAAACAATTAAACATTTTAAAAATGGTAATAATAACTAGAGTGTAGAGGAGAATGTGAATGAACCACATGCTTGTCTACATTGTAGAAATTAATTATGTCCACATCATCACAACATTTGTGATTAAATTGTGCATTGGAGATGGAAAGTTGTGGTATTAATAAATGTGTTGATGTGAAATGTAATTTGTCACCACAACATTAAGCATTGGAGATGCTCTTGAGCCTCCTTCAAATCAGCCATTAGTGCTCTTAATTATGGCAAATTGAATCAATATTATTGCCTCATTAAGTTGGGAATCATTCTCCCCTCATTTGCTCATTTTCCACACGCCCTTCTTCTCCCAAACACTTACAAATTCAGAAAACTTGTCCTCTCTCTCATATCACTCTGCTCACTAAAAACTTTGGAGAAAAACACCACGAGACGGCCTCCTCTTGCAAGTCCAGCAGTAGATCATTATTCTTAGCCTTCTTGTCGACCAAAGGAGCCCCTTATCACCACAATTAGCAGCATCGTGAGGCCTTTAACACCATCTCTGAAGCCACGTTCCAGCCACCTTGAGCCTGGCCAGCCGAGAAAGTAGGAAAGCTGAGAGTACCGAGCCCAAAAACCGAGCCATCTTTCTCTTATTTTTTCTTCATGTTTGAGGCCGAGAAAAGGTATCGAGCAGAAAACTTTTAGCATCGATTTTTGGCTGAGAATTATGTGTATATATATGTGATTATATGTATCTTGTTGTGGTTTAGTTTCAGCCCTTGAGTACATGAGAATATGACTTGAGATGGATTAGTTTGATCAATTCGAATTCATGAATCTGCAGCCTATTTGATTCAATTTTTACCCTAGTTATATATGTTCGATTAAACTGAAATTGTTACTGCTATATGTTGTATGTGTTATGAGTTCACCTGTAAAATTTCAGCCCAATCCGAGTTAAACTGCATGCTGCAGGAATTTTCGACTTAAGGTCTGTCCTGGGTGATGTTTTGACAGGTTATATTGTGTTTATGCCCTGTTTTGGCCACCTTATATATGTCCATTTGATCTAAATATTTTATAGAAGATATCCTATGTGTGTTTTGATTGATCATGTCGAATTTTAGATTATTTTGAGGTCTATAGCATGATATATAGATTTTTGAAATCAAATGTGCAGTTCGAATTCGAAGGTTCATGTATTAGCTGCTACTTTAGATCGATATATCTCAACCTACGAGCATGATATTGACCTAAAATTTTATGGCATGTTTCTATATGTGTTGAGAGTATGTCTATTAAAGTTTAGCCTCAAATGATGTTTATTTAGTGAATTAAAATTATTTGAGTCTTAGCATATCAGTCTGCAATTGATTTTGAATTTTCTCATCATATTCTCATGATTTTGATTTGAAATTTTTAAGAGCATTTCTTGCATGAGTTTTGATCATGTCTGTCAAATTTAGCTTCAAATGATGAGTATAGAAGTTTAGAGAAATTCTTGAAGCAGCAAGTGTCTATCTCATGTTTATGTGCAATGTTTAGGTGAATAGTTGACCTTCCTATTGTTAAGCTTTAGACTTAAAATTTTTGCAAGAGATACTTGAATATGTAAAATATTTAATTACTAAGTTTCAGAATTTTATGAGTTATGTGTGATTTTATAAAAATCATGGAGTTTAAGGGTCCATTTTGCCTTATATAGTTTAGGTAATTGGGAACACTTAGACCGGTTCATAGTCCCTTCAGATAGGAGTTATGTAGCTCAGTATATGGCCGGTTAGATCAGTTCAATTAGTCAGTATCAGTTTTTGCGTGTATTATCTGCCTTATGTGAATTATTTGATTATCTGATTTTATCTGCCTTGTGTGCTTATCTACTATCACCTAAATAAGATAAATATTATTAACTATAGATTATCGAGGAGTCTAGCCCTCTACCTACATTTTGCTGATCATTGTGTGTCTGTTTATCTCTACTAATCAGGTGGGTGTTGATAAACCTTACCGTGTATGTTATTTGATATAATTGCTTGGCTTGATAATCAATGTATGCATGTGAACCGTTAGTCTATGAGAAGTTTATCTCCATTGATGGGGTTCCGATGTCTCCGGCTTTAGCCTATAGAGAGTATTCTCCCGTTGATGGATTTTTTCGACTGTTTAGCTCTCGTTGATTGGTTTTTTCTGACGGTTTAGATGTGATCACATGAGCGTTGATGCTGTTTAGGAGGTAGACTAGACGATTTGTATCCATGTTGTGATTATGATTTTAAGTCATTATATTGAATAGACTACATGGTATTCCCACAGTAAGCATGGTGGTTGCTCACTCTCACTACTTCCCCCTTTTTAGGTTGAGCTGGTAGCCGCGGCAAAAGACGAGCAAGGCGGGGTCATATTTATCTGCTGATTATGAATTGTTATCGCCTCCGCATTTTGATTATAATTGTTATCATTTGCCAGAACACATTTAAACTGTTGTGATATAGGTTAATTCGAGGAGTTATTATTTGATTTATTCGTGGAAATAATTTGATTTGTTTCTGGAGATATTATTGGATTTGTTCGAGGAGATATTATTTGATTTATTTGTGGAGAGATTATTTGATTTGTTCGAAGAGATATTATATGATTTGTTCGAGGAGATATTATTTGATTTGTTCGTGGAGATATTTAATTTGTTCGTGGAATTATTTGATTTGTTCGAGGAGATATTATTTGATTTGTTCGTGGAGATATATGATTTATCCGTGGAGATATTTGATTTGTTTGTTAAGAATTGCAAAATGGATGACGTGAATATAATGTGGATAATGATCTCTTTGAATTCTTGTCAAGGAAACAACGAATAAACCTGAGTCTTGACAAGCTATGGCGGAACTTTCGAAGACAAAATGGACGAGCATGAATCCATCAAAGCAGGATGATAATGAGGGACGAGTCTGGATGGTGCTGATCGCCGGTGGCAATTTCAAAGGCATAAATCATTCTCTTTTGGAGGGGTAAGATAATGGGGAGTGTGATTCTACCTTCAAATATAAAATTAATCCCAACTCTCATGGGCGGTCAAGTTCGACTAACACAATTTATTGACACACTGAGTCTCTTAACATTCTTTTCTAGAGAAATGTTCATTGTTTGAATATCTTAGGCGAAATGTCTCTGAAATTGTGGTGTATATGGATATGTCTATAATTATTATTTGGGTGACCAACAAAATGCAAAAAAGGAGGTGCACGTGGAGCCTTGAACAGAAAGCTGGCATGACTAAGGCCTTCGGACTGGCCAATCTCGAGTCGTCATGACTAAGGAGCTTGGTATTTGGAGAAACTCATTGGAATTTTTGTTTGGTGCATTGGTTTATTGGTTGTTTATATCTGCAAAACAAGGTCTATTGTCAGTTTTTGTTGAATTCATGGTTTTGTGAAATTCTGGTCGACTGTACATTTGAGTGGGTGTTTATATGATTTCATATCGTAGTAAAGAGGCTTGCATATAGATTGAGGTGTGGTATAAAATCATGTGGACCAATTTGACAGCTTTGATTTATTCATCTCGTGATTATTATGGCTATCAAAATTGCAAATTGGAGGATGTGGATTAAATACGATTAATTGTACTTTTTGAATACTTGCTGAGGAAAATACATGAACAAGTGGACTGGATATTGGTTATTGTGAGGAGTGGAAAGCATGGATCAAACAACAACTCAGGTGGTTGTGCACAGACAGGAAAGGGAGGTCGAAAAATATGCTTGATTTTTTTTATCTTGTTCGACATGGCTATGCATTTTATGTGACTAACGAAAATGATCGATTACTATTCTATCTTGTGGGGTTTGGTGTGTTTCTTTTCGACCTCAGTGGCAGGTCGAAGTGTTCGAGCTGTTCGACAACAAAAATCCACCATGACTAAGGCCGTGAGGCTAGGTGGTCTCATGTATCGACCACTCCTCCGAGGGTGGACATGTGTTCGAATACAAAAATCCACCATGACTAAGGTCGTGAGGCTGGGTGGTCGCATGTATCGACCACTCCTTCGAGGGTGGGCATGTGTTCGACAACAAAATTCCACCATGACTAAGGTGAGGCTGGGTGGTCGCATGTATCCACCACTCCTTCGAGGGTGGGCATGTGTTCGAAGACAAAAATCTACCTTGACTAAGGCCGTGAGGCTGGGTGGTTGCATATATCGACCACTTCTTGGAGGGTGGGAATGTGTTCGAAGACAAAAATCCACCATGACTAAGGTCGTGAGGCTGGGTGGTCGCATGTATCGACCACTTCTTCGAAGGTGGGCATGTGTTCGACGACAAAAATCCATCATTACTAACGCCTTCGGGCTGGGTGGTCGATCCTAGTGTTGGGTCGTTGAAGACATAAAGGACGGATAGCTCGAGCATATTGATTGTTTTTACTTGATTTGGTGTATGGATTTATTTATTAACCTCAGTGACAGGTCGAAAAGACAGAGCCTAAAAATCCACCATGACTAAGGCCTTCGGGATGAGTGGTCGATCCTATTGTGGGGTCGTTAAAAACACGGAGCCTATTGGAGACCTCAGAGACAGGTCAATGATTTTTCATAGATTTTGATTTTTGTCGAATTTGTTTTTCGACCTCAGTGGCGGGTCGATGGAGTTCATTTGGAGCAACACACGAAGCTTATTAGAGACCTCGATGGCAGGTAGGGATGTCAATAAAACCCGTAGGGTCGCGGTACCCACGGGTTACCCACAGTTTCGGGTCAGGTAAACCCAAGATGATCGGGTATCGGGTCAGGTTCGGGTAGAATTATGCTACCCGAACCCCGGGTCGGGTCGGGTCGAGTGCAGGTATATTAGAAAAACCCGTTACCCGACCCGAATACCCTACCCGTTTACCCGCAACCATTGAATTATATATATATTATAAATATAAAAGTAGTCATCTGTTATTAATAAATTAGATTATTTATTATAATTTTTTTTAATGGTTAATTTTTATTTTACTTTTTCAAAAATAATATAATTTTTTTATTGCTTTTATTGTCAAACTTAGTTAATAAATTATTTGTTACATTATAACTAATTGTGAAATTATTTTATTTTATTTTTTCATATGAAATGAGATGGGTTAGGTAAAGCCCAAATTTAAGAACTCGGGTTACCTATTTACCCGATGAAAACCCACTAACCCGCCGGGTAAAATCTAATCCAAACCCGAAGATCACTAGTCCGGTAACGGGTCGGGTTTGGGTTGGGTAAATTATATACGGGTCGTGTTTGGGTTTGCCAATACCTGACCCGACCCATTTACATCCCTAGTGGCAGGTCGATGTTTTTTACTTGATTGTGAATTCTATCGAATTTACTTTTCGACCTTAGCAGCAGGTCGAGTGAGTTCATTTAGAGCAATTCACGGAGTTTATTTGCAGACCTCGGTGGCAGGTCGATGATTTTTATTTGGCTTGGTTTTGTCGAATTTATTTTTCGACCTCAGTGGCAGGTTGATGGAGTTTATTACGGATAGTTCTAGCAGATTGATGGTTTTTACTTGACTTGTTTTTTCAAATTTATTTTTCGACCTCAGCGGCAGGTTCACTCGGAGAAGTTCACGAAGTCCGGTTATTCAGATTAATGGTTTTTACTTGATTTTGGATTTTGTCGAATTTATTTTTCAACCTCAGCGGCAGATCGAGGTAGTTCATTTCGAGCAGTTCATGGTGATTATTTGAGGACCTCAGTGGCAGGTCGTTGATCTTTTCCTTGATTTTGGATTTTGTCGAATTTATTGTTTGACCTCAGCGGCAAGTCGAGGGAGTTCATTTGGAGCAGTTCTTGGTGACTATTCGAGGACCTCGGTGGCAGGTTGATGATCTTTACTTGATTTTGGATTTGTCGAATTTATTTTTCGACCTCAGTGGTAGGTTGATGGAGTTTATTCTAAGCAATTCAAGGAGTTTATTTGCAGAACTTGGTGGCAGGTCAATGATCTTTACTCGATTTTGGGTTTGTCGAATTTATTTTTCGACCTCAATGGCAGGTAGATGGTTTGTTTTCTTTATCGAATTTGACTTCCGACGGCAGTGTGGCGTCAAGACGTTCAGTTTTCGAGAGGATACACAGCAGAGTTGAATTTCAAATTTTGAACTGAGGGGCGATATGATAGGACGAGGTGGTAGAAAAGGTTTATCTTTGAGTGAAGAGAGCTCGAACATTGTGGTCGAGAAACAACATACATGAGTTCAAATTTTTAAATTCAAGACTTTAGGGATAGATCGAGAAAATCTATCAAAGTATCATGGAAGTCCAAGTAAGCAGGTCGAGAGATATCAAAGGAAGGTCGACATTGCAAAATAAAAAGTAAAGGAATCTACTCTAGGAATCAAGGTTCGACCCCAGTGGCGGGCCCCTCAATTTTCAACCTCAGTGGTCATTTCGCTTTCAGTGTTCGACCCCCGTGGCGGGTCACTCGATTTCGACCTCAGTGGTAAGTGTTTCGATGTTCAACCCTCAGAGGCAGGTCTTTCGGTTTTTTACCTTAGTGGTCATTCGGTGTTCATTTGGGTCCCGATGCTCAATTGGACGTTTGGTGACTATTTGGTGGTGGAGGATTTATTCAAATTATAATCTCAGTAGCAGGTTGATGGAAACAGCCCGAAGAGGCAATTCACTCTTCGATCGAGTCATGCTTACTCGACCAGAATCGGGGGTTGGGGGGGAGGGGGGACTAGATGATATAGGATATTATACCAGACTGGTTTTAATGGATAAAAAGGGGATATATTGAAGAATAAACCCACACATGGGCTAGGACACGTTGTGTGATGGAATTGGACAAGCCCAACTTGGGCCATAAGGTACATTCCCCTATAAAAGGGGTCTAAGGTATCCCATTCTCTCATTCTCTCTACATTCATAATTATACTCTTGAGATTTGGAGTTTTGAAGTGATATTGACTTGAGCGTCGGAGGCCCGACGCCAAGACCCCTCCCGACGTTGGGTTCTTGCAAGTACGGAGGCCGTTTGAGTTGAGGAGCCCGGATAAAATCCATTTTCACCAACATGTTGAATTTGAGACTTGATTATGTACTTGAATATTCTGAATGCTTTGAAATTATGAATTCGAATTTGTTGATGTTGATTATGATTTGAGATTATCATGATATACGTTAAATTGTTTGGCATGAGTTGTTGATCTGGGATGGTTGATTTCCAGGTGCTTAAGTTTGGACTTAAGCTGATTAATTGAGATAAGTGAGTAATGTCCGTTAAATAAATATTTAAAATGATATGCGAAAAATAAACTCTGATTTTTTATAAATATTCGGTAGTTTTTTTCTTAAAATAACGGGGCGTTACACATTTTAACTAAACTATGTAGTAGATAATTTATAAATTCATAGTTTATAAAACAAAATTTGATATTAGTTAACATTATAAATTTTTCTAATCATTTTAATATTTTAATTCTAGAACTTAAATCTAAATATGAATAAAAATAATCAAATTAACATAAAAATATACTTTTTATAGTTTATTATTTGCTGTAATGTACATAAATGTATGTGCAAAATACATTTTTATTTTTTTTCATATTATATTATGTGTTTTTTTCAATTATTTGCTATTATCTCTCCTATTTGATAATCTATTTTTCCGATAAAGAAATTTGAATACTTTAAGCCATGTTTTTTGTTTCATATAATTTTTATATAATATCAACTTTGTTTATTTTGATCTAGTTATGTAATTAGTAATATAAAAATCATATACAATTATATTTGTAGTAAATTTATGTTATAATGCTTTATACATAATATGTATGATGTGAAATTTAAGATAGTACTTTCCCTCTTCTTTTATTTGTTCTATGTACAATTTATAAGTATATTTTAATTCAATTCAATCTTACAAAAATGTTTTTCATCTCCTTTATTGATAAGTTAATATTTTGTTTATCTATTTAAAGCTATTTTGTTTGGATTTTATTTTTGAAAGAGTTTTGCTTTGGTTAGAATTCTATTTTATTACGGTATTTATTTGTGATTATAATTCATTGAGATACTTAGGGTATGTTTGTAAAAGAATAAATTCACTCAAATGAACTCAAAGTGAGTTTTTTTAGTTAACTATATGGTAAATTTATAAAAAGTGGTATAATTAGTTGGTAGTGGAATTTTGAGTTTATATTAATAATATATTTAAAATAAAATAATTAAAGTTGATTTAATGTAACAGTAGGAGATAGATGATATGGAGTGATGGTTAGTCAAAATTACATGAGTGGATGAATAATGAATTAAAGTTGATATGATGCGTAAAAATTATTGGTTGTTATTATTTAATGATTGGTTGTAATTATTTAATTATATTGATAATATTGAGGATGGTGAGGTTGAGTTAAAGTTGAATAAGATTTTGAGTATGATTTAATTGGGATTGAGATGTTTCTTTTACAAACATAGCCTTAATGACTATTACAATTATACTATTAAAATTAATATATACATAATGACTTTTTAGTTCGTGCAATTTCTTACAAAATCATTCCTCCTTTTATAAAAATATAGGTTTTATTTTTGAAAGGGTTTTGTTTTGGTTAGAATCCTATTTTATTGATGCGTTTAATTGTGATTATAATTCATTGAGAAATTTAATGATTATTACAATTTTGCCATTAAAAATAATATAAACATACGGACTTTTTATTCCGTTCAATTTTTTACAAAATCATTCCTCCTTTTATAATAGTATAGATATAGATATAGATAGATAGGTAGATAGGTATAGATAGATAGATGGGTGAGGGTCGTGGCAACTGAGCTTCTGATAATTGTGAGGGTGTTAGATAGTGCAGTCTTCACATTTACAGTCGTATTATCTTGAGAGAAAATGCATAGTACTCGTTGGATAATATCGGAGCGTATATTTCTTCAAAACAAAAATATTTTTTGTGATTCGGCTATATGTGTTTTCTGGAAATATAGAATTGTTAGGTTTTTTTTAAAAAAAAAATAAAAAAGAATATCAATATTGGTTCTTCACATACCCCATTGGATGATTCGAACTCGAGACCTATTGATCCCAAATGAAGGGTGTTACCAACAGAGCTACGCATTCTCATCAATATAGAACTGTTAGTTAAGTTGTTATTTTTTGCAAATAAATTTATTTTTTTATTAATAGAAATCTAGTTTCATCTCACATTTCCGTAGCTCATTTTGTGGTTTCTATTTACAAAGTTTTAATATGTATATCTGAAACTCGTTTTTATCCATTATCTGCTTCATATATTGTTTACACACCAACGGAAGAGAAGAAGTTAATAAAATAGTAATTTCTGCAGCAATTGCATCTAATCTCACACCACTACAAGTCTACAACACAAGATTTTATATTAGTAAGATCACACATGATCCAAAACCATATTGCTCCCAAGAGACTTCAAGATCGGCTCAAGACCAACATGGTCCATATTCTCGGAATACGGAGGTATCATTTCTACTTCAACAACTACAGTTACATATTATTGCTACGAAGATTCTTTTTAAAGGAGGAAAAGAGACAGGAGACGAGCAAAAATAAATAAAAAAAGAACCGAACCCTCACAGCGATAACAAATCTTTTAAGATGACAGCAATTTAGTGGCATGACTAAATAACTCAACAATCCGCATATAAGCTGGTGGTCTTATGAAGAGCATTCTGGTTCAACTACTATTTTTACGACTCGGAATTCGGTTGCTTCTTGGCACATAATCTCCCCTGTTTCCTCAGCTAACTTGGGGTCTTGCTTTTGAGTTTCTTTTTCCTTACCCCACAGCAGAATGTACAACCCAGCAATAACAGTCGCCGATCCTAATACGCTGTTTGACGTAAAATAATAATAATTAAGTTCACGAGTGAAAAAAAAAATAAAAATATAAAAAGCAAGAACTATCTGATTTGGCGTGATCACCTTCCGAGATGAAGTTGTTGGTGCAAAACCGGAATTTCGTACATTCCCGCCAATATCATCACAAGTGGGCTGAAAGCAGCCGTAAAAACTGGCCCACGTTTCTTTACACACCATGACATCCCCACAAAGCATAATCCCGATCCTACAATGCCCTGAGGAGTAATTTATGTTGGAATTGTGAAATAAGTAGGTTCATAGTTATTAACCATAAATATACTCACTCACTCACTCACTGTGTAAAGAATAATAAAGATGTCGGATTTTGTCCTCAAAATCCAAACCGAAAGATCCCTGTCTATGAAGGAGCTCAAGACAGCAGATTGTAGAGCGCTAAAGCAAGTCATGATGGCAGTGGATGAGTAGTGACACGGATATTTGTTCCCAATGCTTGTCTGGAGAAGGTACCACAACGACCAGCATAATGTACCACCTAATAATGCAACCGACCCAATTGCCCATCTTTCGTGTGGATGCTGCAGAAGCTCTGTACGCTGTGCGAAATGAAATAAAGGTATTCCTTTGTAGACAATTAAAACGACAGCACCCCAGAGGCATACTAAAGAGCCGTACACTTTTGCTCTCCCGCTACTGCATTTTACGTCCACTTTCTCTAAACTGATGAATTAACGGAGTCAAGTGTAACCAAAACATAGTTTGATAATTTAATGGAAAAACAAAATGTGAGAGAGATTTTACCCAAATGGTAAAGTAATTAGGAATGTTATTACAGGGACCATGTTGAGGAAGGCACATGAGAATGTTGCTGACGTGTACTCTACGCCGACAAGGAAGAGATATTGAGTTACAGATGCCCTACAAATTAAATTGGATTTCAATCAACTTCTATGATGAATTAATTACTTTAAATAATGACAATATTTATTATGTACTTTACCCAATGATTGCACTCATGAAAAGGTGGCACAAGATGGTGAACGTAAGCTTTGGCCGGGTTTTTCTGCAAATCGGATGCAGTGAATAAAAAATAGCATTTTCACTAAGCCAAACGAACGAGTTGAACACAGAATTCAAACCTTTCCAAAAAGAAGGCTAATGGAGATAAGAAGATTGCAGAGATTGATTGTCGATAAGTTATGAATACCCAAAGGTTGATCCCATCGCCTAAAATCTTTTTCAAAAGTATATTGCTAACAGCAAGCGCCTGATCAATAGCTACCATCACTAAAACCGGGTACCATTTGACCAAGTTCTTCATGATTTTGCTCTCGTTGTGGAGAAAATGCAAGAATTGGTTTGGCATTGTGAGGGATGAAGCATATAAAGAACAAATATTCTTTCCTAATTGACTCTAGTTTAATGCATATTCTTTCATTTCATTTCTTTTATAATGCTACTTTGCCAAGAAATCCAGTATATTTCTTACCACAAATTAAGTCATATATATATATATACATATTTCCATCACCATCCCCTGTTTGGCTTTTGGTTTTTATGCAGAATTTATCACGTGGGTCAATCTCTTTGCAATCCTACGTGCTGTAGCTTAGTAGACCCAGCATCCAAAGGTGAGTGATAAATGGTTCGTGAAGTTTTAGGCATCTAATTCTTGTTTTGAAATGACTGTATACGGGCATCTCAATATTTTACAGCAGTATTATGTAGAGAATAAGATGTCAAATCCTGATTTGCATCTTGCAATCCTGATCACACTTCGTATTCCCCACAATATTAATGAAATAAATATATTATATAAGAAAATGTACACAAAATGGTTAGATGTTAAGTACAGTTAGTAACCGGGACTGCCCAAAAACACCAGTTAGTTGCCATACACAGGTTTTGACTCAGACCAACTCCAGCGTGTGACTCAGATTTTACATAGGTTTTACTCAGACCAATATGGCTTAGAGTCTGGTCAAGCTGTTAATTTTGGTAAATCCTCAATTTTGTTCTCTAAAAATACCTCCACTGGAACTCAGGTGCAAATCTGTAGTAAGCTTTCTGGTATAACATAGTTAACTCCTCTAGATATTTAGGGTTACCTTTAGGCATAGGCAGATCTAAGATAGATATTTTCAAATTTGTGAGTGAATGTGTGAAAAATAGAATCCAGAGTAGGAAAAACAAATTCTTGAGTGAATCAGGGAGAGAAATCCTCATTAAGTCAGTGTTGAGTGCCTTACCAACCTATGTTATGTCTTGCTTTAGAATCCCCACTAGCATTATCAATCAGATTTGTAGAGACATTTCTAACTTCTGGTGGGGGAAAAATGAGAAAGGTGGTAATAGGATTAATTGGGCTGAGTGGGGGAAATTAGTAGTGCCTAAGGAAGAAGGGGGTTTAGGTTTAAGAGATCTGAGAGCTTTTAATGAGGCGCTACTTGTTAAAAAATTGTGGAGGATCCAAACCAAGCCAAACCTGTTAGTCAGCAAATTATTGACAGGCAAATACTTTTGGAACAGGAATTTGTTGGAAATTAAAGCCAGGATGGGTATTCCTGGCTTTGGAAAAGCTGGTTGGGTGCTAGGAGCTCTTTTTGTTTGGGTGCTAGGTTTGAAGTGGGAACTGGAGAATCTATAAATGTTTAGGATTCTCTTTGGATCCCAAACAACTCTTCATTCAAACCTAAGTGTTGCTTTTGGGGTGATAAGAGCAGAATTGTTAAGGTGAGTGATTTGATTTTGAATGGTGGGAGAGAATGGGATATAGAGCTGATCAATCAAACCTTTAACCCAATAGATGCTGCCACTATTCTCAAAATTCCTCTGTCCAATCATAGACTGCAGGACAGGCTTATCTGGAATGGGGGTAAAAAAGGTGAATTCTCCACCAAAGCAGCATATCAAACCATTTTAGAAGCAAAAACTAAAAATGATCTGCAAGCTTCAACTAGTGGCATTGCAGATTGGGGGAGAAAAATGTGGAAATCAAGCTGGCAGTTAAACATGAAACCCAAAATCTAATTCTTCATTTGGAGATGCTGGTTTGGGTTTATTGGAGTTAATGATAGACTGAAGCAGAAGGGGGTTGAAGTTAATCCAATTTGTAAGGGGTGTGGTCAGGGCTCAGAGAACCTTAATCACTTGCAGTTTACATACCCTAAAGCCAGGACTTGCTGGAAGTTGAGTGGGTTGCAGTGGGAGCTCCTACAAACCAAAGAAATGAACTTCCAAAGATGGTGGATGGAAATATGTTCACATGGTATGTCTGCTATACTCAAAAAGAGAATCACTTTATCTGCTCACTTAATCTGGAATATGTGGAAGGCCAGAAATAAGTGGGTATTTAAAGGGGATTGGTTCAATGAAAAAGAAATAGTGGAGAGGTCTTTTGCTGAATTATTGGAGTGGGAAAATTATCAGTTGAGCTTTGACAGCTTGCCCATCACAGATGAAGCTAGGCTAAGAGTAGGTAAGCCATGGCTGGCTATCAGTGCTCAATCATCTGCATATGGTAAGATTTCAGTGGATTGTTTTGCTTCTCATACCACAGGACATCAAACACATTGGGAAGGCCAAATAGGAGGAATCAGGGGTAACTTGGAGGACTCTGAAGCTGCTCTGCTGGAAACTGAATGGGCTTTGAGGAACTTCACGGACAACAATGGGAAAGCAGCTATTTGCTATCTTAAAGAGGAACTGGCAGTGAAGCTCCTAAACAAAGCTATAACTCCTAATGACTGCTATTTGGAGGTGCTGAACAATATATGGAGCATGTTTGAAGATTGTGGTATTAGCTCTTGTGTTTAGTTTTAATTCTTTGTTTCTTAGTTTCTTTTTTTTCTTGTGAGCATGTTGGTCTTTGAGGGGAAGACTCAAGCTCTTTCTCGTGTTCTTTGGATAGTTGTGTTTAGATTATCCTTGGGATGTAATCATTTGATTACTCGTTGTATCAAGACCTTGCATTTGAGTTATAATATTTGTTTGTTTGCCTTGGAAAAAAAAAAAAAAAAACTCCAGCGTGTGACTCTATCTCTCAAGAGTTACGCTATTTAACGCAAAAATTGAGTCTAGCTCTGCACCAGATGAAAGTTGTGAATAGTGTTGCGACATATGTGGCACAACACTGTATCACAGCGCCACATTTTTTTATTTTTATTTTTTTTTTGGTTTTTTTGTATAATATTATTGGTACATTTTTGTATAATGTGTAGTTAATAAATGTAATTTTTATGCTAAATGACTGTGTGCAATGTATTTTTTATGCTAAATAATTTTGTGTTTTTCTTATTGATGTATTATAATTTTATTTTGCAATTTTTTAATATTAATATGGTACCAATTTATTTAATATAAAAATAAATAAAATATATTTTTATTATTTGGGTGATAAATATTTTTATATAAAATTAAATCTACATATATATACCAATTCATTTGAAATAAAAATAAATAAATTACATTTTTATTTTTTTTTTGGTAATAAATATTTATATAAGATTAAATATACATATATATACCAATGTCTTTGAAATAAGAATGAATAAAAATAATATATTTGATGTAGAGTAAGATGTTGAGATAAGAGCTGGAGATGAATGTTTCACATGACTCTATAGTAGAGTAGTAGAGTAAAGTACGCGCTAGAATAGATATAAGGGTTGGAGATGGCCTTATACGTACGGAATTGCGGTGGATTAACACCAAAAGTAATGAAATTGTTGGTTGTTAAATTTTATCTGATTTTATTATGCCGGATAAATTTTTTTATTAATTTTTTTATTTTTAATTTTTTATTTGGCAAGAGATGCAACTGGATTTTTTTTCTTTTTTCTTTTTTTTTTTGAGAAAACAGGTAAGTGATTCTCACTTTCTGCTTAGTCATCCTATTAATACAATTAAAAAAAATACATAAATCAATCATTACTATATAACTTATAGAAATATTCATCTTACTTATATTTTTCAACCCTAATAATTTTTTCATTATCCAACTCACTTCTTTTTTTTAAACGATAGAGAATATTATATATAAAAACACACAAATCTGCAAAGATACAACTCCTAGTTGACTAATACAACCAAAAGCTGAATAAACTGGGAGGACAGGTCTGACGACCGCCTAGAAACCCGAAACTAGCTAAAAACCAAAAACAAGACTCACGAGACAACAAACACAACAAGCACTAAGAAAAACTACAAAGCTCCCAACAGGAGAATAGAAACATGAGCTGATCTCAAAAAGCATAATGCCGGCTCCCACTCTTGCTCACAGAGGCCAACGGCCCAAACCAAAAACACGATGCCTAAAAACAAACAAAAAAAACTAACAAACACACCTCGAAATAACCAAAAACAACTAAATAAAAACTAGCCCTTCCTTAGCAACTCGACCAAGCAGAAACAACGAACAAAGACGACCCCTAAGCGAAATTCGAAGCCCCGGAAACCATCATTCCACTGCCGAACCGCCTAGATGAAATAAAATCCAAGCTCCGAACCTAACTAAGAGCCGACCCGCCCTCCAACCGAAAGACACCCACACCGCCCCCCACAAGACGACCGCCCCGAACCCGACTAACACCACTAGCCAAAATCGGCAACGGTAGTTCTCCCCCGGACCCAACACCCAACACCAGAGAGACAGGGGAGAAGAGAGCAAGAAAGGCGTCAAACCCCGATGTCGCAGCCCCATAGCCATATCGACTCGAAAGCCGCGAGCCGCCGAAACCAAACTCGACCCCATCCCACCACACCAGACCCCGCCCGAGTCTACCGCAGCAGCAAGGAAGCCGACGATCGGAAACCTATGTCGGAACCGGAAGCTGTGGAAGAAGGCGAATTCGACCGCTATAGATCCGCCACCATCGGAGCGCGAAGGCAAGAAAGGTACGGCAACGGGATAAAGGCCGAGCGGTCAGGGGCCGACCACCGGCAAAACGCAGCAGCCGATGAGGAAGGCGGATTGAAGGTGACGATGATTTCTGCAAGAGGAATTGGGGATTTTGAGGCGACGAGGGTTTCCTGTTTTTGGCTTCCGAATTTCCAACTCACTTTATTCAATTAATTAACTTTTTTTTTTTCAAAATAATCTATATCCAATGAGAGCAAACCCTCACCCCCAAATCCGAGTACTTGTCGTCTTCAATCTTCTTCATCTCGCCCTCCTCGGTGAGCGGCGATATTGGGCCAGTGGTCGCCCTGACTGCTCGGCCCACCCCTGAAGTTGTACGCCTTTGATGTTGCTGTGGTTCTTGGGATTGGTGGTCAGACCTCGATTGAAGGCGGGCCTGGCGGTGGTGAGCCTGATCTTCGATTGGTCGACAATTGGTGTTCCGTCCTCCGATGGATCTTCTATTGTTGAAGGTATGTTCCACGATCTACTCCAGGTCTTCTTCTATCGGCTTCTCTTTCCGGCAGGGCCTTCGAGGGAGATTTGGATT